TCTCCTCCTGTCAGCATGTGCTTTGTTATCAGAGCTTATTGGCTGCTTGTTCGGTGTCTCCCTCTCACGCTGCAAGAGCCTGATATCAGATCACATTCAGGTACTCCCACTGCTTACATTTCTAGCCATAAAATGTTCATGAATGCAGAGCTGAATAAATTTGTGTTTTTTATATCCGCTTGACATTTTTAATAGATGTTTTCTATTATTTTGGGGTTCAGGGTGAAGAACGGATTTATATAAAAAGCTGAGGTTAAAGAGGAAGAAGAGGAGACGTATGTGGGGGGGGATCGGCCATCCACGGAGGAGGTCGGGACGGTTGTGAAGAATGAACAGGAAGAAATGTCTCCACCTATCCACACAGGTAAGTACGGGCACTGTGGAACAAACGGGTCACAGTCTAATTTTACTTCTGAGTAGAAGGATTGTAGTTTAAACCCCTTCCAGTCCGGACGCTTTGACCCCCTTCCAGTCCGGAGCTTTGACCCCCTTCCAGTCCGGACGCTTTGACCCCCTTCCAGTCCGGACGCTTTGACCCCCCCCTCCAGTCCGGACGCTTTGACCCCCCCTTCCAGTCCGGACGCTTTGACCCCCTTCCAGTCCGGACGCTTTGACCCCCTTCCAGTCCGGACGCTTTGACCCCCTTCCAGTCCGGACGCTTTGACCCCCCCTTCCAGTCCGGACGCTTTGACCCCCTTCCAGTCCGGACGCTTTGACCCCCCCCCTTCCAGTCCGGACGCTTTGACCCCCCCCCCTTCCAGTCCGGACGCTTTGACCCCCCCCTTCCAGTCCGGACGCTTTGGCCCCCCCCCTTCCAGTCCGGACGCTTCCCCCCCCCCCCCCCCCCCCTCATCTTCCAGTCCGGATGCTTTCCCCCCCTTCCAGTCCGGACGCTGTCCCCCCCCCCCCCCCCCCCAGTCCAGTCCGGACGCTTTCCCCCCCCCTTCCAGTCCGGACGCTTTCCCCCCCCCCCCTTCCAGTCCGGACGCTTTTCCCCCCCCCCCCTTCCAGTCCGGACGCTTTCCCCCCCCCCCCCTTCCAGTCCGGACGCTTCCCCCCCCCCTTCCAGTCCGGACGCTTCCCCCCCCCTTCCAGTCCGGACGCTTCCCCCCCCCCCCTTCCCTCCAGTCCGGACGCTTTCCCCCCCCCCCCCCCCCCTTCCAGTCCGGACGCTTTCCTCCCCCCCTTCCAGTCCGGACGCTTTCCTCCCCCCCTTCCAGTCCGGACGCTTTTCTCCCCCCCCCCCCCTTCCAGTCCGGACGCTTTCCCCCCCCCCTTCCAGTCCGGACGCTTTCCCCCCCCCCCCCCTTCCAGTCCGGACGCTTTCCCCCCCCCCCCCCCCTTCCAGTCCGGACGCTTTCCCCCCCCCCCCTTCCAGTCCGGACGCTTCCCCCCCCCCCCCTTCCAGTCCGGACGCTTTCCCCCCCCCCCCCCCCCCCCTTCCAGTCCCCCTTTCCCCCCCCCCTTCCAGTCACGATGCTTTCCCCCCCCCCCCTTCCAGTCACGATGCTTTCCCCCCCCATCCAGTCACGATGCTTCTTTCCCCCCCCCCTTCCAGTCACGGATGCTTTCCCCCCCCCCCCTTCCAGTCACGACGCTTTCCCCCCCCTTCCAGTCAGGACGCTTCCCCCCCCCCCACCTTCAGTCAGGACGCTTTCCCCCCCCCTTCCAGTCAGGACGCTTTCCCCCCCCCCCCCCTTCCAGTCCGGACGCTTTCCCCCCCCCCCCCCTTCCAGTCCGGACGCTTTCCCCCCCCCCCCCCTTCCAGTCCCCCGGACGCTTTCCCCCCCCCCCCCCTTCCAGTCCGGACGCTTTCCCCCCCCCTTCCAGTCCGGACGCTTTCCCCCCCCCCCTTCCAGTCCGGACGCTTTCCCCCCCCCCCCCCTTCCAGTCACGATGCTTTCCCCCCCCTTCCAGTCACGATGCTTTCCCCCCCCCCCCTTCCAGTCACGACGCTTTCCCCCCCCTTCCAGTCAGGACGCTTCCCCCCCCCCCCCTTCCAGTCAGGACGCTTTCCCCCCCCCCCCCTTCCAGTCAGGACGCTTTCCCCCCCCCCCCCACCTTCCAGTCAGGACGCTTTCCCCCCCCCCCTCCAGTCAGGACGCTTCTCCCCCCCCCTTCCAGTCAGGACGCTTCTCCCCCCCCCTTCCAGTCAGGACGCTTCTCCCCCCCCCTTCCAGTCAGGACGCTTCTCCCCCCCCCCCCTTCCAGTCAGGACGCTTTCCCCCCCCCCCTTCCAGTCAGGACGCTTCTCCCCCCCCCCCCCTCCAGTCAGGACGCTTCTCCCCCCCCTTCCAGTCAGGACGCTTCTCCCCCCCCCCTTCCAGTCCGGATGCTTTCACCCCCTTCCTACCCAGGCCAATTTTCAGCTTTCAGCGCTGTCGCACTTTGAATGACATTTGCGCGGTCATGCAACACTGCACCCATATGAATTTTTTAGCATTTGTTTGAGAAAGATAAAACTTTATTTTGGTGGTATTTTTTCACCACTGGGATTTTTTTTTTTTTTTTTTTTGCTATATAAACAAAAAAAAGTCCAAAAATTTTGAAAAAAAAAAGTGTTTTTCTTATATAATTTTGCAAATAAATATTCTTTCTTTATAAATCTTGGCCTAAATTTATTCAGTTGTCTTTTTAGTAAAAAAAAATAACCCAAATTATTTTATAACCAAAAATTATAATTTAAAAAAAAAAGATTTTTACATTTTTATTTTATTTTTTTCTATTATTTTTTTTTTAACATACCGTCACCCTAGCAGTACAGTGTAACCATAGTGACACTGTACTACTTGGGGGTGATGAAGATTTTTTTTTTTTTTTTTTGTTTACACTGATTGCTTTTACACCCATAAAGGCTGTAAAAGCAATCGTTTCTCCTCTCTGGCTGCATTCCTGCAGCCATTGAGAAAAGAAATACTGTGTGAACTGTGATTGGTCACAGCTTGTCACATGGTACAAGGCTGTTGTGAATAGCCCTGTACCATGTGATCTCTGTGATTAGTCACACATTTCACTAGTAGTAAGCAATGTCAGAAGTGACATCTTGCTTACACCTATTCATGTGATCACTGATTGGCCAATCAGTGATCACATGATCGGGACCTCACACAGAGGTCCCGTACAGCGATCGGTGTTCCGGCAGACACAGCGGGCACCAGATTGTGGTGCTTCGCGCTCCCAGGGAACGCGCACAATCCAAAATGGCAGGCGCCATTTATAAACAGCAACCCATCCCTGCACTGCTACCATCCAGCCGTTTATATACAGCGGCTGGAGGGCAAGTGGTTCAGGAAAAATGGTAGGTAATTCTCAGAGCTTCACCTCCTCTGATTTTGCACACTCACGGTATACCCCGGACCTGGTCCTGCACACAACAAGGGATACATTATCAGTTTTCTCTCCTCTGTTTATAGAGATCTCCAACCTCAGGCAACAATCCTTTGTTTGTCCATACAATAAAGATTTGACACTTTGTATAAAGGCCGGCACGGACATTTAAAATTCATATTTATCCATGGTTCACATTAGCTACATTTTCCAAAACAACTTCCAGGAGAGCGCATTAGAGAGAGAGGCTCCTCCAACAGGATCAGGAAAACGCATCACCAAAAAACAGGGAGGTCCTTTTGCTGTTGTTTCCCCCATCCGGAGGAGACACATCACCTGGAACCGGGTGGTAGGAGGCTCAGTTTGGGATTCCCTTCTGCAGTCCTCCACCCACTTCTCTTTTTTAGTCCTGCCTCACTCTCCTCAGGGTGGGACTCTCACCCATATTTGCCCCCATTTCCTTCCTGTTTACGGGCAGGAGGAGGCCTGGGGCCCACTTCCTTTTTCATTGCCTGGGGAAGGTCAGTATTGAGAATTATCCCCTTGGCAGACCGGCCTGGGTTGGCGACAGTAAGGGACCATCCCTGCTGGGTATGGGTAAGGCTGTGTTCATAAGACTAGCATGTGCCATATCATAATGTCGATGAAAGCTCCTGGTTCTGGGGACACTGTGAGTAATTTGTGATATTGTAATTTAGTACCTACATCTATTCTCCTCATTTCTTGTTGATACAACAAGAAGACCTCAATCATGTGGTCGATCTCCATTCCTCAGTATAACGTCATGTTCCCAACAAATGAGGAGGAGATACTGGACACCATATGAAAGGGCCATCTCCATTCCTCAATATAAAGTCACGTTCCCAACAAATGAGGAGGAGATACTGGACACCATATGAAAGGTCCATCTCCATTCCTCAATATAACGTCATGTTCCCAACAAATGAGGAGGATACTGGACACCATATGAAAGGTCCATCTCCATTCCTCAATGTAACGTCATGTTCCCAACAAATGAGGAGGAGATACTGGACACCATATGAAAGGTCCATCTCCATTCCTCAATATAATGTCATGTTCCCAAGAAATGAGGAGGAGATACTGGACACCATATGAAAGGTCCATCTCCATTCCTCAATATAACGTCACGTTCCCAACAAATGAGGAGGAGATACTGGACACCATATGAAAGGTCCATCTCCACTCCTCAATAGAACGTCATGTTTACACTCATAGTTGTCATTGAAGCACAAAACAACATCTCCCAGTGTGTCAGTCAGTGGAATGTAGTAACGAACTACTAACATGTTTTGGCTAATGAAGCCATATCCATAGCTATTTCTTTAATAAAGAATCTGCAGATCATATATGGACTCGGTATGGACACTTTTCTGATCGATTTTGGAGGTAGAACAGGAGCCCAGCTGTGAGATCGACATTTCCACTTATTCCACTGACGGGGGGGAGGAGCTAAATCTCCAGTTATTTGTGAATTCTGACATTTCTTCCATTTCTCTCCATCAGATGGCGGTGATGTCAGGAATTCCTCGGAGAGACATCTTCTATTATCTGCTGATTGGAAGTCAGAAGATAATGCCATCACACAGGATTCTCCAGGAGTGAATCCAAATACACCAAATATCCATCACAGACCTTCCTGTCTGGAGACATCAATGGATCCCTCTGATCAGGGGGAATCTTCTGACCAATCACATACTAGGAGTGCAAATGTCCATTTAGGATCTCACACTGCAGAGAGATCAACAGATCCATCTAATCCCAAGGAATCTTCCTCACCCCATGAAGGATTTCACAGGGGTCAGAATCTATTCTCATGTTCTGAGTGCGGGAAATGTTTCACTCAAAAAGGAAAACTTATTCAGCACCAGAGAGTTCACACGGGTGAATGTCCTTTCCCTTGTTCAGAGTGTGGGAAATGTTTTAAACATAAATGCACCCTGCGTACACACCGCAGAATTCACACAGGCGAGCGTCCTTATTCATGTTCAGAGTGTGGGAAATCTTTCATTTGCAAAGGAGACCTTGTTAAACACCAGAGAATTCACACGGGCGAGCGTCCTTATTCGTGTACAGAGTGTGGGAAATCTTTCACTCTGAAAGAAAACCTTGCAAAACACCAGAGAATCCACACGGGTGAGCGTCCTTATTCATGTTCAGAGTGTGGGAAATCTTTCTCTAAGAAAGTGAGCCTAGATGAACACCAGAGAAATTACAAGGGTGAGAGTCCCTATTCATGTTCAGATTACAGGAAATCTTTCAATAAGAAAAAATAATTTTGTTAAACACCAGAGAAGTGACACGGGAGAGTGCCCCTATTCATGTTCAGAGTGCGGGAAATCTTTTCATAAGAAAGATAAACCTTGTTAAACACCAGAGAAGTCACACGGGTGAACGTCCTTATTCATGTGTAGAGTGCGGGAAATCTTTCACACTGAAAGGAAACCTTGTAAAACACCAAAGAAGTCACATAGTCGAGTGCCCTTTTTCACATTCAGAGTGCGGAAAACCTTTCACTTTGAAAGGAATCCTTGTGAAGCACCAGAGAAGTCACACACGTGAGCATCCCTATTCATGTTTAGAGTGCGGGAAATCTTTCATGCAAAAAGGAGCCCTTGTTGAACACCAGAGAATCCACACGGGTGAGCGTCCTTATTCGTGTTCAGAGTGTGGGAAATCTTTCACGCTGAAGGGAAACCTTGTTAAACACAGAGAATTCACACGGGTGAGCACCCCTATTCATGTTCAGAGTGCGGGAAATGTTTCACTCATCAAGGAGACCTGGTTAGACATCAGAGAATTCACAAGGGCGTGCGTCCTTACTCGTGTTCGGAGTGCGGGAAGTCTTTCACACAGAAAGGAAACCTAGTTGAACACCTGAGAATTCACACGGGGGAGCGTCCTTATTCATGTACGGAGTGCGGGAAATCTTTCACTCAAAAAGGAATCCTTGTTACGCATCAGAGAAGACACGCCTTACAGCGTGCTCAATGCGTTCAGAGTGCGGGAAATGATTAGATAGTAGAGGGAATGCTCGTTCCTATGCTTTTGACGATGGTTTGTACGATGGTTTTTGCTGGTGGAACTTGAACATCTGGAGGAAGAAATTATTTTGTTTATAAAGGCGGTGCATCCTGGGTAAAGTGATAGGTAAATTTGTAGGTGGAGTTTGATGGGCGGAGTCTTCTCGGTTTCTTTGCATTTCTTGGAGACTCCCATGGTGGGATGTTCCTGCTACAGTCTCCGCCCCCCCACTTTCCTGTATCCCCCCTTCCTCTGTTTTCATTTTGCATATTTTGAAATGAAAATTCAGTACAGAGGGTAGTAGCCCCTCATAATGGGTGACGGGGGGAGGGGGCTCATGTGTCTCCAAAAGGAGACAGGTAGGTCCATGTGGTGTCCAGTGTACATTGAGGCCACAGAGAAAATAACTGAGTTTTTAGGATTTGATAATAACAGTTTATACCCGTAAGATATACATTAAAGTGTTCCTGAACCCCCAACAGTACAATCAGTCTGTAGATGCAGCAAAGCATGCTGGTTATACTCACTGTGGGACCTAAGGGGTTAATCCTCATTGCGTAAAAAGGGTGTTGATCCTGTCTTCTCTGATCCTCCTCTTGTTCAAATGTCCAACTGATACAGACCGAATCCGTGGTCACGTGCACATGCTCAGTTTGCTATGTATTGCTAGAGAGGTGTTTTTTTTTTTTTCTTTTTTTTTTGATCAGCACAGGGCCAATCAAAACTGTCCAGACAGAGGGCAGGGGTCCTGCATCCTTCTAGAGCAGAAAGAAAACTCCTCCTACAAGCTTTAACCAGTGCTCTGCTGAAGTCACAAGACTGCTTTAACTGCTGATGAGAAAAGATATTTTAACAGTTTATGTTGGCTAAAATAATTGCATTTCCATGTTGTGTGTAGTGAGGGAGAGCGGATATAGTGAATGCGGGGTCTGGGGAGAGCGGATGTAGTGAGTGCGGGGTCCGGGGAGAGCAGATGTAGTGAATGCGGGGTCCGGGGAGAGCAGATGTAGTGAGTGCGGGGTCTGAGGACAGCAGATGTAGCAAGTGCGGGGTCCGGGGAGAGCGGATACAGCGAATGCAGGGTCCGGGGAGAGCAGATATAGTGAATGCAAAGGCCAGTAACACATTCACATTAATAAAAATGCATGGAGCAACAAAGGCACAATTGTGAGAATACAAGGACAATTTTATTAATACAAGTGAAGAAACACGCAATGGTAACAATACATAGGCAATAAAATTCTGAAACAATAACTAGAGTCCAGTCTGCCTCTTATGTTGGCCTTGTCTGTTCTGCTGAGAAGTGTATATGAACCTAATCTACTGGATGCAGAAAGCATCATTGTAAAAAAAAATGTACTACACCAAAGCATCCAACCAGGATTCCCACCTTTATATTGGTGGTAAGCGAAAAGACCTTTTACACAAGTGATCAGTGCGGTCATTGGAAAGAATGAGGGAGCTGTCAAAGAATGTAGTGTGGATGGTGGGGGGAGAGCTGTCAGAGAATGTAGTGTGGATGGTGGTGGGAGGAGAGCTGTCAGAGAATGTAGTGTGGATGGTGGTGGCCGATTTTTTTACCGTTGGTGGTAACATCAGCCGATCGAACGACCAATTTTTTATTTTTTTTTTATTTTTTAAAAACAGACGATTTTCGACCTGTCTATGGCCTGCATTACTGACAAGATCAATCAGGTCAATGCTCCTCCTGGTGTTATCTGCGGCGTGTCTAGCCGGGACAAAGCCCACCTGGTCTCTGTGTATAAAGCTTGGAGATACATTTAGCCAGCCTGTTAGCTAGAATTTTCATAAAAATCTTGTAGTCAGAATTTAATAAAGCTATAGGATGATAATTATCTGGAAGGGAATGGTCCTTATTTGGCTTGGGGATCACACAAATGTATGCGTGGGTAAAATCATCGTGTGGGTGCTACCAGGGGCGGACTGACCATTTGAAAACTAGGGCACTGCCCGAGGGCCCGGGGTCAGTAGGGGGCCCCATGAAATACCCCTGGTACCTTTTTCATAGGCTTTTTTGAGTTTGGGCAAGGACACGGGCCCCATGAGTTGTCAGTCCGTCCCTGGGTGCGACCCATTCAGGAGATCCCGAAACAAAGTCAGAAGATGGTGGGCTAAAATGCCAATAAATGACTTGTAATTTGAGTAAGGAAGACCGTTCCGCCCTGGGGACTTGTGAGTAGGAAGATGTTTGACAACATCCAATAATTCTTCAATGGAAATGTCCGCGTTCTGAGCTGTAACATTGGAAGGTGACAAACATGGCAATTGTAAGGAGTCAAAAAATGCACCAAAAGCAGCCATCTGAAGGGGAGGATGAGTATCAGGGGCTAGGCAATTATAAAGCTTCTCCTAGTATTCCACAAATATTGTAGCCATAACATGCGGGTCATATGTAGGTTTGCCATCAGACTGGAGTAGGTGGCCAGGTAGTGAGGGGGACGTTTGAGATTCAAGTCTATTTACGAGCATGTGATGCGGTTTATTAGAAAACTCATACAATTTTTGCCTAGCCCAGGTGAGAGACTGAGCCGTTTTATACAGGTCAAGAGCCCTAATTTGATCCAGTAAATGGGAAACTTTCTGGAGCTGAGGTACAGACGGGTTATCTAGCAATCGACGTTCGGCTAAGGATAATTGGCGTAAGAGGGATCATCTGGCATAAACAAAGGCCTTCTTTAAAGGGGCGCCCATGGAAATACAGAGGCCTCTGAAAAATGGCCTTATGGGCCTCCCAGAGGGTTGAGGATGGAGATACCGAGCCAACATCAAGTTGAAAATAAGCATCCAGGCCCCGAGAGAGCTCCTCTCGAAGTTGTTCCAAGCGCAGAAAACTCTCATTGAAGCTCCAGTGGCAGACCATGGGGGAGGTGTTAGGAAGAAGGAGATCAAGTGACAAAGAGGCATGATCTGACCAAGTCATCGGGTTGATCTCCGAGGATACCAAAAAGGGGATCAGGGGGGCGGTGACAAAATGATCCAATCGAGAGAACGTGATGTGGAGTAGAATAAAACATGAATTGCCTATAGAGAGGGTTTTTGACCCCCCAGGCGTCAAAGAGGTGATGCTCCCGGATCAGTTTATGGAAAGCCGTCGAGGAGGAGCATAGTCTCTTCGACAAGAGGGTGAAAAAAGTGCCTTCCTGTCTTTATGAGGGGACATAACCAGGTTAAAATCCCCCCCCAACAATCATGCATGGAGTAGATAGGGAACATAATTTATCTAGGGTTTGAGAGAGAAATAACAGCTGACCAGAGTTAGGTGCATACAAATTCAAAAGCACAAATGGAGAGCCCTCGTACATACATTCCAGCAAGACATAATGACCAAGTAGGTCAACCCGAGAGGAGCAGACCCTCAGGGAGCAGTTTTTCCAGATCAAACTAGCTACTCCGGCTATCCCAGAGGGATCAAAAGCCGAATAGGTTTGTGGAAAGCTCTTGGAAGCAAAGCAAAAAGAGCCATCCCGTTTGAAATGGGTTTTCCTGAATGAATATAATATCTGCTCCCGAGGATCTGAACTTCTTCAGAGCCATCCACCATTTTTGGACTGAATTAAGTCCTTCAACATTATATGACAACAGCCTTAAAGCCACCATGAGACAGTAATGAGTGTAACCTGAGCATACAGAAAAATTATCATCGATAAGGCAAAACAGAAAACAATATAAATAGAGAACCAGGTGATTAGCATGGCAACAGGCCTAGTGCAAGCAACTATATCACTCAGAACAGAGGCCATAGGGATTACGACTGGAACCATGATATCATCAGAGATACAGTGAGGAACAGAAGTATTTGAACACCCTGCGATTTTGCAAGTTCTCCCAATTAGAAATCACAGAGGGGTCTGAAATTCACATTGTAGGTGCATTCCCACTCTGAGAGACAGAATTTAAAAAAAAAATTCAGGAAATCACATTGTATGATTTTTAAAGAATTTATTTGTCTTGCACTGCTGAACATAAGTATTTGAACACCTGAGAAAATCAGTGTTAATATTTGGTACAGAAGCCTTTGTTTGCAATTACAGAGGTCAAACGTTTCCTGTAGTTCTTGACCAGGTTTGCACACACTGCAACAGGGATTTTGGCCCACTCCTCCACACAGATCTCCTCTAGATCTGTCAGGTTTCGGGGCTGT